GGAAGTCAAAGCCTCACCCCGAGCCATGGTCGAGGAAGAGGAGCCCCAGGACCCCAAATCCTTCCACCTCTGCTGCCATGTTTCATCGTCTGATCACATGCAGATTGAGGGGATCAGAAAGCCCCTAACAATTTACTCACGGTGCTCGGTTCCCACTTCAGCTCTACCCAAGGTGGCAAAGCCATGGGTTGGATCTGCAGCTTGGGGGTTATCAGGGGCAGGAAATTTCCTCCCACCATCGCATCGCCTCTTTATGAGCCCATTCTGCCCTTGCCCAAGCCGCAAAGGGAAGCAGTTAGAGCTGTGGGCTGCCCAGTTTGTTTAGGGCAGAGGATGGTATTTCCTCTGTGGGTGGCTCAGATCTCTTTCTCCCATGCAATGTGCAACATCAGCTATGGTTGGCGCTGGGGAAGGGTGAAGATGGAAGTGTTTGATCTCAGGGGGCTGTTATTCTGCGCTGTAATCACATTAAAACACTGCACAGCTCTTTGACAGCCTAGCAGGGATAGAGTTTGGGAATTCTAGCTCTAGGTTTCTTGGGAGGAATCATGATATCCATCATTTTATGACCAGAGAACCAAGAAGGTTTCTGCTTGGGTAGATGCTTCTCCCTGCAGCCCATCCCCACATCTACTCTGAGGGCAGTGTGTTGCACCTCTGCGCACCAGGCGCATACAACACGACTCCTACCAGGCTGCCGAACCGTAGTCATCCTCTGAATGGGGCTTGCACCTCTTCCCCAGCCCTGCTGGAGAAAGTGAACAGGGAACAGTAGCTCCCCCTGATCAGCAGAGGCCTGAGCCAGGAGATGGAGCCTCCTGAGTCCCTCTCCCTCTTCGATCACACCCATCTGGAGCTGGAGGGCCCTGGAGCTCTTCCAGCGGGAGGGAGTACGAGCCTCAGCGGGAAGGTATTTGCCAGTTGGGAAGCGAGGATGCTAAACCGATTTGCATTTGCCCCGCAGGCTGTAATAGTTGCCTTGCAACATTTACAGAGATGGGCTGAGCCCGGCGTGGTTGTGCTGGGGTGAAGCCCCACTGGCAGGGCGCTCTGGAATTCCCAAGGAATGGGGTGTGGCTGGGCGCTTGCTTATAACCTCGGCCCAGCTCCCCATCGCCTCTTCCTGGTGCAAGGCTCCGGGGCTCTTCCCGAGTCTTCCTAGCACGAGGCTGTGACAAGGACAAAGCAGTGGAAGCCAAGGATGGATGACATGTTTGGGGCGAGCTTGTGGAAGGAGCTGCCTCCCTCTCACCGTCAGCTGATGCGCAGCAGCAGGAGAGAATGACAGTGGTTCCTGCACTGTTTCCAGCGCTGCCGGTACACAACCGGCCCCGGGGGTGGGAATGCCTCCAGCCCTCCTCACAGGGGAGGTGTGGGGGGAGCGTGGAGGAGCGGGATGGAGCAGTGGAGTCCCCCTTGAAATGGGAAAAGGGTGGGTAGGTCTGGCTGTATTTTAGGAACGTGGGCTAGATCAAACGTTAAGTTTGATTCTTTTAAGGGAGGAAAACATAAGCTGCCGTCCCACGTGGAAGGGGCTCGTGTGAGGAGGGTTGTGCCTGCCGCAGGGAGAGGCAGGCGTGGTCCTCCGGCAAGTGGATGTCGGGGTCCGACTGTAGCCAGGAGTGGTGCTGGAAGGGTGGAAATCCTGTGCCAGCGGAGCAAGAGCCTCAGGGGTTCAGCGGGCTGGTGGCAGGTGCTGCCGGTCTTGCTCTCTGCCAGGGAATGTGGTGGTGTCTCCCCTCGGGGTCCTCACATCAGCTTCAGAGGGAATTAAAAAATGCTGTTTGGGTTTTTTTGCGTGGCTGATCACTCAAGACCCTGCTGCCAAGATCCCCTGCCGTGGTCAGTGTGGAGGTGCTCGGGAAAGTCCTCGTCTCCCAGGCAGAGTAGCAGATAGCTGGGTGCTTCCCTGCCCTGGGCTGGTGCTGCTGCTACCCTTCCGTCCTTCTGTGCACAGCCACGTGTGGGTGTGTAGACACACCACCCAAAAAAAGAGGACTGGAGGAGTCCTCACCTTGGGAGTATCCTTGGCTGGTTTCTTTGAGCCCCGAGGGTTTGCTTTCCCTGCCAGTTGCACAATCTTTGCTCTCTCCTCCTCTGTATCTGTTGTGCTACCAAGAGAGACACACCTTCAGGCAAGACTCTGAAACCCTTGCCTGGGAATAGCCGGAGGGAGGACGGGAGCACAGCCCTGCATATTCCCTGCGCCACCTCAGCAGCGGCTGATCGCAAGGGGACCTTTCGGCATCCCTGGTGCTCAAAAGCATGTGTTGGCAGAAAGCTCCAGAGGCAGGAGGTGGTGGGGTTAGGGAGGAGGCTGATTTTGGGAGAGCGTGTGTGTGGGGAGCGGGGACGGGGGAATGTCCCGTTCGCAGGGCATTGCTGCACGTGCAGCGGTTTGCAGCGGCCAAGCAGCGCTGCTGACGTCTGGGAGGAGGGAGGCGAAGCTGACGCACTGAGAGGCCCCGGCGTCACAGCCGCAGCGCAGAGCAGCTGCCGGGCAGGCAGGGCCCCTGCCCAGGTGCTCTGCTGCCGTGTGTCAGGTGTGCCGCGGCTCTCGCCCCAACAAGTGCCAGCAGCCGGGAGAAAGGGAGGGGACGTCCCTGCCAGGGGACTGGCAACATGGGGAGTGGCCCTGCGGATCATGGGAGAGCCAGGCACTGGGGGCAGAGGGAGGGAGGGAAGAACAAACTTACTTTCTTCTAGGAATTCAGGGCCTTGCAGGAATAGGAGGCCAGGCCTTGGGGCACTTGACAGCCAGCCAGGAGTCCATTGAGACAAAAGTCTTCTTTGATCTGCCGCACAGTTAAAAAAGGAGATTGTTAACCTGCGTTAGACAAATAACTCCAAAGGAGCTGCGAAGCAGGAAAAGCACCAGCTGCTCGGTCTGGTGTGTTGGGGATCCCACCTCCTGCAGTGCTCCTCTGCCTTCTGACCCCATGGTGGAGGTGGCTGGGGGACGTCTGCGTCCCTGTGTCCCATTCCCACCAAGTGCCCCGAGCCCAGGTGTGTGCGGTGCCCCAGTCTCAGAGCTTCCCAGGCATAGGGCTGGGATGGGGGGCCAGAGGCATGGCTGTTCCCAGTCACAGACCCCAAAGCGAGCAAGGACAAGCCATGCAGCTCAGGTCTGCGTAGCTCCTCTTAGGCAGCCTTGAACACGGTTCTGCAGCACTAGCGGAAAGTAAGGAGCTTCACAGGCTTGCGGTTGTCGCTGGCAGAGCTGCCTTGCAGGCCCCGGGGAGGAGGACAGGATTATGAGCCATGTGGGCTGGTGATACGCCGTAGCCATGCTGATAGTATCTGCAACAAGAAAAAAATTGGCACCTAAAGCTGCTGCTGAGGGCAGGGAGTGGAGCTTATTCCTACAGGCAGTCCCCAGCAATCCGGCTCCTGAGGGCCTGCATTTGCAATCCCTGATTCGTATCTGTTCCCCCTGCTCAGTTAGCAAGGTGACACCTCCCAGCTCTCTTCCAAAGTCACCGAGTCTCGTAACACCTGCCCACACTCTCCCCCAGCGAGTGCCAGAGTTTAAAATAAAGTTCCATTTCCTACACATATTAAGTGTCAGAAAGGACCGGGGGCATCCGTGCGCAGCAGCATTTGTACACAAATGCATTTGGCTGACAGGTGCAAACATTAAAAAGCCTGCAATTTCACTGCCCAGCGCTGAGCTCTGGCTGCACGTACTGAGAATTGCAAATGATCCCTTTTCCTGTAAACGTGTGTGGCACAAGGCAGGGAGGTGCTGCAGAGCCTCTCCAGCACTGGGCTGTAGGTCCCACTTTTCCTCACGCAGCAGGAGTTGTCAGAAGGCATCTTCATTTCGCAGCTATTCAGTGATCCCTGAATTATACAAGTCTCTCTCTCGCTGTGCATTCATCACTGATGCTGCTTCCCTCTCCCTCGGAGACTGAGGAAGTAACGCCTGGGGATGTAAAATCTGCTTTTCGCTGCAGGCGGACAGCCAGATCTGTGGTGAGATGTGACAGTGACAGGGACGGAGCGGGGCAGAGAGGCTCGATCTGACTCGAGCTCTCTGCTGGGTCTGGCTGCGGAGGTTTAAGACGCTAGTGTTGTCTGCTCTGCAGCTATCCCAGGAGGGTTCTGCCCCGTGACTTGGGCTGCAGCAGCCTTCAAGCCACAGCGTCCTCGTTTAAGTTATAGTATTAGAGGGTGGGCTAGCAGGGCTGAGGAGGGAGCACTCCTATTGCCCTGTTAGTAGAGGCGAAGGGCGGGTGGCCAAGGGACAGGCACGTGTGGGAGGGTGCCAGGCTCAAGCAGTCATGCCAAAGTGGCTGCAGGTTTGGGCTAAAGCCCTCAAGGTTTAAAAGCCAACGTTTAACCACCTGCCTGGCGGTTTTCTTTGACTCCAAGTGGAAGGGAAATGCACTGAATGCAGGCAGGGAGGGAATAGCTGTACACTAGAAGGACCACACACATGCCACCGACTGCCCGTAAAACCCACACGAAAATCCCTGCATTTCACAAGCACATGAGCCAAGTTCTCCTCTCAGTTACAGGGGCATGTGTAGGGCTGTGGCTCAGACGGCATCCAGCACCAGGCTGAAAGAGCAACTTTTCCGCATGAGTAGCCCTGAATGAAGAGAGCTAGGAGCTAAGCAAACACTTTGGCCAGTACTTTCCTCCGTCTCTTTTTCTAGTCTTTCGGAAGTATGTTTTAATCAGTGCTTGCTTTCCCATACCGCTCCTTTGTAGTCTTGTTAAGTGCTGTCACTGGGACCCATTCAAGCCTGAGTAAAATTCAAGCAGAGTAAAATTCCCAAGAGACTGATGGCATTGCACCTGCCTGCACAAACCCTGCATCTGGCCCATCATCTGATGTCTATAAACCTGCTTACTTAAGTTTTTTTGGCACTGGCATGCAATGACATCCAAGCTCCCATGTGTTTCTTCATCCAAATCAGCTCCTCAGCCCACCACCTCGAACAGCCTTTCATGTCCTCCCTGCAGCGTTTGTGGCTTCACCGCGGGCTCATGCTGGAGCAGCCTCAGCTGCGAAGGTCAATCTTCCTCTCCAACCCCCACTTTTTTTTTTTTTTAAAGAGTATGCAAATGATGTATATTATTGGGCCGCTGTGGTTTGAAAACACACGCGCACGCACACGCGCACGCACACGATATCTGACAAAGCCCGTGAGGGAGTTTCATAACAGAGGGAAATATTGGGAAGGTTTTATCTGATAACCTGGAGAAGTCATACAGCACCGGAGAAGGAAGCCTTGCTGGCCGCTTGCATAGCATTCGGGGCTCTGCTGTGCAGCCCAGGCATTTTTTGGCTTTTTCAGTCTCCTGACTGCTTTGTCAGAGGCAGCGAGAGGGGGTCTCTCACTTTTGCTCAGGTTTCAGGCTCGTGCCTTTGTGAGGGCATGTCTTTGCGTTTCGCTGGTTCTGTCATGCCTCCTCCGTGCTCCTTTGATTCCCCCCCCCCCCGCTCCGTGACGCAGTCAGTATTTGCAAATCACCTCTCTAACGCTTGTTTCTCCCCTTCTTTTCTTTTTGCTGTCTGGCAGGGGGACCCCATACCCGAAGACATTTATGAGATTTTGGGTGGCAGCTCAGTGCGCTCCATCAGCGACCTCCAGCGTGCCCTGCGGATAGACTCCGTAGGTAAATCTCCTCTTCACCAAACACTCCTCTATTTTTTCTGAACTCTTTGAGGGGGGCGGAGGGGATATTCTGTTTTCCAGCAGGCACACTATCAACAGACCTCACTGTAAATATAGGAACCATTCGGGAGCCAAGACCTGGCTATTTACACACCTAGCCCTCTTGAAACCTGTGGGGAGTTAGGCAACTAGATGTCTTTTTAGATCTCCACCTAACAGCCTGGTCTATCGAGGGACACTGGCTTCCAAAAATTATAGGAGATGAGCAAGGTGAGTGCAAGGAACTGAGGTCAGCACTTTTTACCCTGGAAGATGCACAGGCAGCAGGGCTTGAACTGGCCGAGGATCAGTTTAGGAGGTGGAGAAATGGGAGGTGGAAATCGGGTGACAGAGGAGGAAAGGGCTGAGTGGGTTCTCAGGTTTAGCATCCACAAAAGGCCACAGGCTCCCAGAGGCTCTGAGGATGACAGCGGCAGAGCACGTGTCCGTGGGTGAGATAGAGGACAGGGGCTAAGTCAGGGTAGCATCTCTTCACCTCCTGCCTGTAGATAAGAGCTCCGGGGGCTGCAGTGCCTCAGGGTCACTTGGCCAGGGCTGAGGAGCAGTGAAGCATGGAGGGGTCGGCACGTGTGGGAATTGGAGCACGCGCCGCGGCGGCTGGGCTGGCCCAGGAATTTATTTATAAATGGTCTCTTCAGAGCAAATTCCTTTCTATTCTAACCCTGCTCCCGCCCGTCGTCCCCCGGCCCCCCCAGCTCGCCTTCTCTCTCGTGTTTTGTCTGTTTGGAGCTTTGTAATCCTTGCCGAGACACTATCTACGGGGGAACAGAATTTCCTGCTTTTGTTTCCTATGCCAGTCCAACCACTGGCGCAGTCTCAAAAGCATTCCCGCTGCCTTTCAAAACGGCCCTGGAGGGGCAGGGGGGGAAAAGCGAGGGGGAGGGCACCAGCTGCGTTCAGCTATTGTTTGCCTTAGAAAGAGGCGACGAGGCTCCCCACCACCGCCACGGCCGCTCCCTGCCCTCACCAGTTCCCTCCTCCTTGTCCATGAGCCACACAATGGGGCAACTTCCAAAATTAGCTGTGCTGGATTGTCCCAGGCTGGTCCCCCCGCCCCAGCCGTCTTCAGTGCTGACCCGGGGTGTAGAAGGACAACCTGGTGGAGGGAGGGACCTGGTTTTCAATAGGAGATTTGTTTTGAGTCAACAGTTGTTGCTATTTTTTTTCCCCCTTCTCCCTCCTCTCATCAACTCAACCTCTGCGCAAAAGGCAGCCCCCACCCTCGTTTGATAAAATGCCAGGCGGCACAGGATGGAGGGGTGGGGAAGGAGCGGCTGAGAAGATGCGTGCAGTCTGTCATGTCCCGGTGTCTAAGGAACAGATACATCTCTATCGCAGTTACTAACCGCCCTCACAATTCAGAAATAAAATGGGCTTCTCTTGTTGACTTGAAAAATCCAGGGGTATGGGAGAAGGCTGCAGAGCTTTGAGTCACTGGTTTCACTTCAGGTCCCAGATGGGAAAGGCTGGTCAGGGAAACAGAAAATGGTGCTGTGAAGCTGTCTCTTTGTTGCACCTTGTGGCTCTCATCTGCTCCCAGGTAGTGACTGAGGGGCATCACTGTTTGCTTGCCCTGTGTGGAATTAGCGTATTAGCAAAATAATCCCAAAGCAGCTGGGGCTATTCCCTCTGCTGTCCATGCCCCATGTATGTGTCACATCTGCTGCCCTCCACTAACTGCACAGGGAGCTGGGATTAGGCAGCTCCAGGAGGCAGATGAGCTGAGATACGGCTCTCCTGACCTTGGACGCTACTGTAGACCTTAACTGTGGCTGCCTGCAAAGCAGGCATGACCATCTAAGCCCGTCAGCCAGACACATCTGTAGCCCCCTGGATAGCTACATGCCCTTCTAGCGCGTGATCCACCAGATCTCATTTTGGGTGTCTGCCTCAGGGCGAGATGAATGGTGTCCTAGAATTGATTGCACCTCTCCAGCTGCTTTAAAAGGTGTCTGTCTGTCCACCTCACACGTAGATGTTGACTGCTCAGGCACATGATTCCTGCCTTGTGAATACAGCCTCTGTGCACCCACCCCAAATCCTTCAGCAATTGCTTCAGAGCTGAGCTGAGAGCGAAGTCGCTGCTCCCCTTATAAGAGGGCTGCACTAGGGCAGGATGGAGGAAGAGGGATGGGACATGATAGGTATGGGAAGTCTGCTCCACCACGCATCTGATAAACAGAGATCTTCCACTGGCCCCAAATTCACTTTAAGAAAATTGCTCCCTTGATGCTGACGTCCATTCAGCTTCCTTCAGCTGCTAAAGCAGGTCAGAGAAGGAAAGAGCTGTGGCTGGGTGGGAGCTATCTCTGAGCGTGGCCATTGTCCGGCACTCAGGAGGGGCTGCGTGTTGGAGTGCTCCATGGGGATTATGGGCATTTCTCTATTCAGCGCTTCCTATGGGAAAAAGCAGTGGGGTGGGAGGCAACTGCTCAGGGCTGGCCTGAATGCTATCTGCCTTCCTCTCCCATCGCTGACTGAACTACCTCCAGATCCTGCAGCTTTCCTTAGAGCAGTATAGGGGAAAAGTAATTTTAATTTTTTTTTTCTGTTCTTCTGTCATAAAACTGACTCTAACCTAGAGTGGCTGCAGTGGGCTGGGAGAGAGAAAGCAAGCACCCCACCTCCCACTCATCATCCCCTTCACCTGCCCCCTCACACCTCAACTCTCCCAGTCCCAAGCCATCCCAGCAAGGCACCACGGTGTTATATACCAAACTTTCTGCTGGTCCCATCTGGTCTTTGATCCTCCTTGCTGTATCCTGGTCTCAGCCAGCTAATCTGGATCCCTCTGCTACTCCTCTCTGATACCAGAAAGCCCTGTCATTGGCTTTGTCATTCTTGAGCCAGAGTTTTCCTCTCCCAGACCTGACTGGGACCCCTCTTTCACGATAGGCTTGTTGCTTTCAACTGCCTAGCCTGAGCAAAGAGCAAACCTAGAGTCCCCGTGCCGCAGCACAGCTGTGACCTTGCTGGTGGATTTACACCTAGTGTGACGTACTGGGGCCGTGGCTTATCCCACGTCTCTGCACTTTGCCTGGTGAGCAGAGCACAAGTGCCTGCTGTCTTCTGCCTGGTGCTATTAGGTTATGTCTTTCCCTTTGCAGAGGAGGATAGCTCAAGCCTGGACCTGAATGCGACTCAGACTGGTCAAAACCCTATGGCCCTGTCTCGAGAGCGACGAAGCCTAGGTGAGTCGGGGGTGTTGCACCTTGTGATTGTTGGGGCACTCACCTGAGCAGCTGTGGGTGGGTGCAGATGCACGTCTGAGATGCGTATGTGGGGGTAGAGGTTATAGTGCGCATGGGTGTGTAGGCAGATGAGAAGGAGGGTCTGGGCCTCAGGTAGGAGCTGAGTGTTACACCCCAGGAGGGCAGGAGAGGGACTCTGGAGCTCTGCAAGCTGCTCTGCTTTAAATCCCGCTGGTGCTGATTTGCTCTAAAGAAGTGTCATCTCCTGCCTAGGACTGCCGCTGCAGTGAGAAGCATCATTTTACTGGGGCCTCCTCCACAGGGCGTGGCTCTGTCCAGGGAGGGAGCTGGAGGGGTGGGAGAAGGAGAGTGTGTGTGTGTGTGCGTGCGTGTGTGTGAACTGTGGGGGGTCTTTCTCTTCCAGTAGAGGTGGCTGCAGTGGGCTGGTAACAGCTGCAAAGCCCGTTTCATCCCCCCTTCTCTTGGCCCTCCGTAGATGCTCTGGCAGCAGCAGAGCCAGCTGTCCTTGCGGAGTGCAAGACGCGGACGGTGGTCTTTGAAATCTCCCGCAACATGGTGGACAGCACCAACGCCAACTTTGTAGTGTGGCCACCCTGCGTGGAGGTGCAGCGCTGCTCCGGGTGTTGCAACAACCGCAACGTGCAGTGTCGCCCCACGCAGATTCGCGTCCGGCCCGTCCAGGTAAGGGAGACATCTCCCACTGCTCCCTCCTCCCACAGCCCACCTCCACCCCTAACCCCCCAAAACCAAAACCACAGCAGGTCTCAGGTGCAAGGCTCACACAGCTGTCTGTTCCCTTGCACTCCCTCTGCACTTACATCTTCTGCATTACCCACGCAGTGCTGCAGCCTCTGGCGCGGGGTGACGTCCCTGCCAGCTGCTGGGAGGGCTGGTGCTGTCCAGCAGCTGGGGGCTGTCACCATAGCAGAGCTACAGGACACTGTCCCCAGCTGCAGCTCCACGCCGCAGCTATTTCTGTGGCTTGAGGCGGCCTTGTCTGCTGTGTTACAGCAGAAGAAACAGGACACTTTCATCTCAGGAACTGTTTTTGATGCAAAAAGAGGAGGGCTTGCAGTGTCAGTCTCCATCCCTCCTGCTGCTGCTGCAGCTTCTTCCCAGGACACCCGTTGGAGCAGCTTCTCCTCTTTCTCAGCCCCACGGTTACCTCCTGACCTGCTCCAGCAGCAAGCAGACACCTGATGACTAACCTCTTGCTCTGATCCTGCACTCCTCACAGCTACCAGTGATCTCCTCACAGCTTCCTCCCAGACAGCTTGTTTAAAAATAATACTTATCCCGTACTAATCCTCTGCCTGAACCGTAAGAGACTCCCCCAGGCCGGCGGCAGAGGTTGGCTGGGAGAGGTTGTATTCACACAGCCCTTTTCATCAGGAAATTCCTTTCTCAGAAAAACCAGGCTGAATGAGGGAAAAATGGGGGGGAGCAGGAGTTGTTTTTGTGGAAAAAACAAGTGAGAGGTCAAAAGCCAGCCTGAAAAAGTGACCTGGAAATGGTTTCTTTGAGGACAGAGGTCTCTCTATTGTTTGGTTGGAAGTGTTTGTCTAGCGAGCAGCGTGTGGTCTGAAGCGTGTGGAGTGGGCTTTCAAGGAAAGATAAACAGCTTGGCGGCTTCAGCGCTGGCTGAGGGATGCTGCTGGGGGCAGTGGGTTTAGAGGAATTCAATCCCAGACGTGCGGCAGAGCGAGTATTTATAGCTTGCGGAGCACTTCAAGGACCGCAGTCTTGTTAGATAAGCTGAGTGGGGTCAGGCCCGGCTGCTCCTGGAGTGGGAGGACACCCTAGAAAGCTCGTGCCCTGTGGTGGGATGTGGAACAGTGAGTCTTCCCTCTGAGTCAGCACTGGTGGAGAGTCCGAGGGAATTTCCAGAGCACCGCCTTTCCCGTGAAACATGGAGCTGAGGGCTTCAGCCCTGCAAGTTATTAAAGAGCTTGAGACAAATTCAGACAGGCCTCAGCAGAGCTGGTGAAGCTGCATTTGCTTGCATCAGGCCTGAGTTTTTCTCCTTTTGCCCTTCCTCTAGGATCCTGTGGGAATTAATTCTGGTTGCCCCCACGTCTCCACCATCACAGCTGTCAGAAACAGGCTAGCATGTTCTGCACGTCCCATGTTTCTGTCTGTGATCAACCAGTCACCCTGCTTAAGCAGCGGTAATAGTTAGGAACAGGGGAAACAACCAGTCACATCCCAACTTGCCTGGTCTAGGTCTGCTCTGCTGGTGTGTGCAGAACTAGCTCCCATACGCACCACCCCCGAATTTGAACCGTGCTCTATAAACTGCCTTCTGACCCTTTAGGAAGAAAGCCAATACTGAAGCGTACTGACACTGATTATTTTTACAGAGTGGGAGCTACAGCTGTATTCATCTTTTGCTTGCCTCCCTCTTCCAAATAGGTGAACAAGATCGAATTTGTCCAGAGGAAACCAAAATTCAAAAAAGTCGTTGTGCCTTTGGAGGACCACGTGCAGTGTCGGTGTGAAGCGGTGTCCCGTCAGCCCCCCAGGAACAGCCGGCCAGGGCCACGTGAACAGAGACGTAAGGATCTTGGCGTTAGTAGAGTGGAGGGAGGTGTGAGAAGAGAGACTGGGGAGAGAGGAAAGAGCCCTCCGCTGGTTTCAATCTGCTTAGCTCCAGTGAATCCCACGGGCCTTCACTGGGTTATACCAGCCGAGGGACCTTTCCCAGGATGTCTGCCTGCCAGCAAGGGGCTGGAACCGAGGGAAATGAAGGAGGGGAAGGTGAGAGGTGAGGGGAAGGGCATCGTGGGAAAAGGGAGAGAGCAGAGACTGTGGAAAACAGAGAATAAGGGACAGAAGAACAGAAGGCGGCCTTGTGGCCCTCCTGTTGCAGAGCTGTTTGTTGATAGCGGCGGGAAAAGATATTTCAACATGACCCAGCCGCCCCTCGCTGTACAATCTCCCCTCTGTTTTGGCAGGCTTGTCACCGTCGTTCACCACAGCCGCTGTCTCACAGAGGCAGCGAGTACGCCGGCCGCCAGTGCAGAAGAGGAAACATAAGAAGTACAAGCATGTCAACGATAAGAAAGTGCTGAAAGAAATCCTCGTAGCATAGAAGTGCTGGCAGGGGAGAGAGAGCCCAAGGCAGGTAGGAGCAAGCTGCTTTTCCAGTTGGGAGAAATGCTCTCCCAGGACACGGTTCTGCCCGAGCACCTCAGACGCTTCCCACAGCACCAGCCGCTCATTCAGTGTGGGGCTACTGCAGGGCCTGGGTGTGATAAAACCAAGGTCGAAGGAGGAGGAAGGGCTAGGCTGGGACCCAATGCGTGCGTCCTATTTATGGCTTTATGGCTCTTTGCAGAGGTGGAAGGATCATGCTGCAACCATACTTGCTGTCGGGCCCTGCCTTCCCCTTTCTCTGCGTCCCTTACAGGCAGAGAGTGAGCCTGACTTCTTTCTACACCTACATCTCCTCGGGCTCCATGTAATTCATCTCTTCTGTGGAGCAACTCCTGTTCTCCTTTCTCTATTGATTCTCTGTTGAAAGCAGAGAATTAATGTTGCTCTGGGGATCCCTTTTCCTTTTATTTCATTAGCTGAGTTGGCAGAAAGACTGAAAACCAGCGACACTTGGTTCATCTCTCTCCTAGCAGGAAGCCTGTGTGCATAAGGAAGGTCATACCAGGGGAAAGGAGAACTGGAATCTCTGGCAAGAGATCTGGACTTTGTCAGGCCAGGGTCTGCTTCTTCTCTCCCTGACTTGTGTAAACAGGAGTAATTCCCTCGTCATCAGAAGAATTTCAGTGGTACAAGGGAAAGGAGAATAAGCCCTGGTTCCCCATGAGAGAGGGAAAGGTGCAGAAAAGAAAGAGTAGCCAGGGCACGGACCTGGGGGGCTGAATTTAGAGAGAGGCGGCACAGCCTAACAGGGAAAGCCCTGGCCCGTGACTCAGCAGTTCCAGCTCTGCCGCGGCCCCTTGAATGAGCCCAGGCTGCTCGCTTCACATTCACTTCCCCTCGCCTTGGGAGAGGGGGACGACGAGCTTCCACTGCGTGGCGTTTCAGGAGATGGGGACGAGGGGTACCAAGCGGTGTCTTGGGATTGGTATTCCCACGCTTAGCACTACGAGGGCTCTGATTATCCCAGGATCTTCCTGGCCAGCCCAAGGTTCCCAGGGTAGAAATGATGCAAATCCATGCAAATCTCAGCTCTGGCTCAAGTTGTCCAGGGGAAAAAATAGAGAAGGTCAAAAGCCCTCCTGGGCTTCTAATCTGGCACTTCAACACAAACATTTCCAGAGGAGAAAATGAGAGAGGAGGGGAGCTGCAGGGGCAGAGGGTTACATATTCTAATGCCGTGTCTGTTTTTGTTTCACTTCCAGGTTTATTTAATATATTTGCTGTATTGCCCCCATGGGGTCCTTGGAGTGATAACTTTTCCTCTTTGTCCGTCTGCCTCGACGTCTGATTCAGACGACAATTGGTGCTTCCCTTTCCATCAGTGGATCTTCTCCCACCAAAGCCTCTCCCTTCTTTCATTTATTATCATAATTTTAAAGTTTTACACACACAAAAAAAGGACAAACGTGACCTATATATATATATATATGTATATATATATATATATGAGAAAAGAACAAAGTACAAATAAAACCAGGAACCCCAACAGCCACAACATGCGATGAGGACAGGACAATGCCTTCCCTACTCCAGAGGACAGGATGGAAAATGTGAAAAGGAAAGTGGGTCCAATTTCTTCTGAGAGGAGGAGAAAAACACATGGACAGAGGGTGGAAGGGGAATATTCTCCCTTCCCCTCACGTTTCTGGTAAGGCTGGGGGGCCCGGCTGAGAGCAACACTTGCACTGGACCTACATTATGAAAACAGGCGTATCTCAGATTGCGAGTGGTGACCGATGATGGAAAATGCACTAAGGACTTTTATTGCCCTACCTGGACAGATATATATTTTTAATGTGCGTGTGTATATTTTATTTTAAAAAAGAAAAACCAAAACCACTAAGATATACAACATCTCGGGGAACAGAACAAAAAAAGAAAAAAAACCAAAAGAAAGAAGCCAAATGCATGGGGAAGGAGCAGACAGCGGCAGAATCATCTCCACGCCCCCGGCCCCTGCCAAGGGGAGCCATCTTTGCACATGCTGGTGGAGAATTCAACTTTCCAGGATCGGACTCAGATTGTTTTTTAAATTCGCTCTGTATGTGTGCGTGTGTATATGTGTGTGTGTGTGTATATATATATATATATATATACGTGTGTGTGCGTGTGTGTGTGTATGTGTATTTATACATACATATATAAATATATATATATATATGTATCTTAAGTGGATTTCATTCCCCGGTGGCAGGAAGCTCAGAGGCACGTGCATGCACCAGCTTCATTGGGCTGGCAGAAAAGCACACTGTTACTGCAACGTGCCTGCGAGGTCCGGGACGGGACAGGCGGAGACATCATCTGATCTCTCTCCGTCTTGTTGCCCTTTTCTCTCACTCTGCACCAACCCCCCAGCACAGCACGACTTCCTTGCAGGAGGCGAAGTGGCAGCACAACAAGACCAACAACAGCCAAACTTAGAAGCATGACTTAATCTCAGTGAGCTGTCCTTGCCTGCTCTGTGGTCCTGAAAGCAGAATCATGTCATTCCTCCGAGGTTTTTTAACCCCTTCACGGGTGTCCCACGCACCATGCCTCCACTGCTCTCTCCGAGCCAATGTCCCCGCATCTCCCATCGTTTTCCTCAGATTTTCGCTCTCAAATTCCTTCTGGATTTTTGCCCGTTAGATGTTCCCAGCCCACCTAGCTTGGAAGCTGGTCCGAGATGCAGGCAGCTCCGTGTAGTTATAGAGAAAGAAATGAGGAAGGTCTTTGCCGTTGGCAGCAGCCATCTGAGACAGAAACGGGCTCTTCTACGTGAGGAGGACTCGGAGAAGAACTGGAGGGTCAGTTGCAGAGTCCCTCCCGGGCCACTGCCTGCTCCGGAGGAGGGAGGAGGACTCTCTGGGCAAGGGCTATTTCTGCACACCCAATACTCAGTCACCATTAGCAGAAATGTTACATATGATGGGAATTTCCAGTGTCACCTTGGAGTCCTGGCCTCAGATCGTGCCGTGCTGGCCGCTGCCGAGTTACACATGAAGAAAACGCCTGCCCAGCGCTGGCGCGGCAGCCCTCCCCTTCCCCTCCTGCCTCCAGCCGCTTCTCCCCTCGCACGCACACGCACCCCTGTTGCGGGGCAAAGCCCCGGAGGGAGCCGGGGGAAGGAGGCGAAGCTGCAGCCTGGGAGCTGTTACAAGTTGTGGAGGGAGGCAGCCCTCACCTCCTGCGAGCCCAGAGCACTTCTTGTCCCTTGGCCAAGGTGGCACGTTGCTCCCTCCCTCCATCCCCAAGCCCTCAAGTCTTAAGGCATTTTGTTTTCCTGTTCCAAAATCTGTTTCCTTTGGTTTGTAAAGATGGTGAGGTTTTATTTTATTTTAATTTTTTTTGCCTTTTTTTTTTTTAAATGTAAGATTAATTTATACTCTGTACTGTATTTAAAGTTGAAAAAAAAAAAAGAAAAAAAAGGAAACCAAACCTCTCAAACAGCATTTTCTCTTTCTTTTGTGAGCTGAATGAAATGCAGAGGCCAAACCAGCTCAGCGCGGGGCGGAGCGGGATTCCCAGGGCCTCCAGTTCTGTTTTCAGGACACTTATTCTGAGATTGCAGAGAGAAGCGACCAAAGCTGGGAAAGTCCTGGGAGCCCACGCACAGGCCTGCCCACGGCCGGCGGTGCTGCGCTCCTCCTTCCCGCCTGTCGCCCAGTGCTCGGGCTGGTTTGAAATGACTCAGGCGCTGGGGATTTCGTCTCGAAGATATCTCCTCCTTAGCTGCTCTGTTCGGACACCCGGCCAGAATTTCCCTGCGCTTTCATCTGATCTCCGGATTCCTCTGCTTTGAAGGGCTTGGGACAGTCGGCAGTGTTTACACTCCCCAAAGCTGTACAAACAGTCGGCCCCTTCCCTCCTTAGTCACATTTGTCTAGACAACGGCGGTCCTTCCCTCGGTCGGAAAGGCCGTTGCGTTTCCCTTTCCTCCCAGCAAGGGAGGTGTCGCGCATCTGGCACTGGGGCACGAGGTTGTGGGGAGCGAAGGCAGCTGCTGCCCTGTGCCTCAGTTTTGGGGTCCCCCTGGCACACGCACAGCACCCCCAGTCCACGGATCAGTTCTGAGGAGCGTAGACCCAAGCGGGGACTTGCGCTGCGATGGTGAACCTGGGGAGCTCGGTGTCTGCGTGTGCTCCAGGCTGCCCTCGAAGGACAAGCCTGGCACTCCCGGGTGCGTGCCTCGCTCCAGCGTGGTTCATTTTGGGGTGAGGACACATTTTCCCTGATCCTCCGAAGGCAACTGGAGCAGGGGTGAGCTCCGTCTGCCCCCGGGGATGGAAAGCACGGGCAAAATCACAGCAAGGGTAATAATCACATCCCTGCTGTGATTTCCTTAGGATAATCCGGTGAGAAGAAAGATTTTTGGCGTGAGACGACTTTGGGCTTGAGGGCCTGCCAGCAGCGAATTTGGGGAGCAACGGGTGCAAAGAGGGGTACGAGGTGCAGGAAGCATGGGTGCATCAGCCTGGACCGGGGATGGGAGGAAGGGTTTGGCCTCCCAGGGGGTCGGCAACACCGCCTGGTCACTGGCCACGGCGGCCCCAGGGGAGGCGTGCAACCCCATCCACGAGCGTGCGCCTCTGCTTTTAACAGCTAGAAATGAATAGGTGCTGAAAGAAGCCGTGGGCCCGGGCGCCTGGAGCTAACACCTCCGCAGCGCCTGGCGTCCGCTCGCGGCAGCTGCTCGGGAGCTTGCTCGGACGCCGCTCGCGCGCAGCGCCTTGGCGCGCGTTCAGCACAGGTCAGCGTGGGGCGCGGGAAGGAGGGTGCCCACACCACTTCTCAAGGCTGGAGCAGGTGGTTTACATCCACCCCGCAAAGCGAAGCTGGGGAAATAAATCCTGAAATAAGCCCCGGGAGGGCTGCAGCACGGCGCCGGAAAGCATCTCCTCTGTGCGGGGGTGCCGGCTTGGCTCGCCCGGTGCTACAGGTGATGTTGGAGGAACCTCCCTGGTTTAATTGCTCGACTGCTGCTTTACCTAAAGGCCCAGCCTCAGGATATGTCATTCAACGGGATTCAGCTTTTGTTGGAGGAAACGCATCCAGCCTTCGAGGCAGTAGAGAGGCTTTGGCGATGGGTCCTCCTGCGAGAATATGGCTCCCAAAAGTGGCAGGCAGACAGGAGAGCAAACTTATGGGCTATTCAGATGCAAAAAGCAAACCTGCATGTTTTAAAGCCAGGCTTAAGGCTTTTTTGCATTGAGGCTTGCAACATTAAAGCTGTCGCATGGCTAAATGCAATGAAAAATCAGCGTGCAAGAGTTTCCTCGCCGGACCCAGGAAAACCTTTGACTGTTTGCTTATTTTATTGGTGCTCAGGAATGTGAACGGCTTAAGTTTGCCCCCACGCCTGGCTATGGCTCGAAGGAAGAGCCTTCTTCAGCCCAGCCACGTGGCACGAAGCCCACACAGGCATTCCCGTCTCCGCGCTGGGCTCGCACCTCCCTAGCGAAAACCGTGACCCCATGACAGCCGCCCTGTCCCGCTGCCCAACCTGCCCACACTCTGGACACGGCTGGGAGAGGGCTGGGTGGGAGCTGTTGCCATCCCACAGAATCTCAGGGTGGGACAGGGATGTGTCAGAGGGTGGCCCCGTCTCGCTGTCTGCGCACCAGTGCCTGGTGGGCCCTGGGGGTGGACAGGCCGGCTGTGCCACGGGAAAAGCAGGGTACAAAGAGGGAGGAAAATATGAAGAATTAAAAACTGTTTAGGAAAAAAACAACAGAAAACCCGCACCCGAGCGTGCAGCTGTTCCCCACTTGCCTTCATGCAGCCCGTGACCAAATGGTGCTGGCCCCCACCGAGCCATGATCTGCCCGTGACCAAGTGAATTCATTGCAGTCTTGGGAATTTCCCATCTTAAAAGACATTGCAAGGAAGCCAGGCAGCCTTGGCTCTTTTCGGCTTTCATCGCAGGGTTAAAGGAACAAGAGAGTCCCCCAAAAAAGGAGCAGGAAGAGGGTGGGAAGTAGAGGGAACCCCAAACGCCGGGGCATCCCTGCAAGTGGTGCGGGCACTGGGTTAACACAAGGCCCCCAGTCACAGCGGTGGGTCCCTGGGGCTCTCAGCAGAGGAGCCAGGAGGGCAAAGAGATCAAAATATAAAATTATGGCAGGGCTCACCCACCCTTTTTCCTCCCCGAGCCAGGCAGATAGCAAACAGGACTCTCCAGCGCGATGGACTGCCTTGGGTTCACAGCAAAGGCCGTGGTGAAGCCAGGAGGAAAGCAGCCTCGAGGGAAACAACTCCCTTGTAATAACTAACTCAATAAAAGAAGCTGTTTGCAAGCGATTAAGCAGCGACCCAAACACGGCAGGGACCTGTGCAGCAGGGAGCTTTGTGGCTTGACAGTCGATGCGCGTTTCGAAATGTTTGCTGTGACTTTTTTTTTTTTTGCG